ATATTCTACGCCAGCAGACGAGGGAAAATAGGTTTCAACGACTGTGACACTAGCTGAAAATATTCCACCCGAAGTAAAGTAAAGCTAGTGTGGCAATATCTGAGGAAAGGAGTTTAAAAGTACCGACCTGCTGTTAACTGACCCGTCTTCCAGTCTGCCATGAGATATCCCTGGCTTAGCAGAACAAGATACCTCAACTAGGATCCTCTCCACACCTTCCAGTTAAGCCCTCAAAGACGGCTAATGGCTTAACCTTCGGTGAACACATATCATGACAGCAACATGGAGATTCAGGACAACAATGCAATGCAACTTCAATCAGGCCTGGTGAAAGAACTGCTTTGATGTCAGTTCTCTGTTTATTCTTAAGAAGCATATTAAAATATCGGCTCCTTAGGATCAGGTGGTATCGTAGTAGCCAGGCAAGCTAGTAAAGATGAGCATGACAAGTTCGATCTGAACTGAGAACTTTACTTGATTGTGATGTGAGCTTCCGACATGCCTGCTTGTAACACAATCAGGTCTGCAGAGCGTGATTCGAGCGTGTGTAGAACGCGTAGTCGGGATCTGTAATCTAATCTCTCAGTACTCAGAATCACTTCTGGTCTTCATGCTTGTCCCTCGAGAGCGAACTGAGTTGAGGGGCGAAAACACAAAGTGGCAGATGCTACACGTGGCTTCGTTCATGATAGCCTGAGTTCCGACCACGTGTCTGCTATGTTACAGTGCAAAAGTCGATGCACGCGACGATTGGACTGGTATGAAAGGTAGTTCATTATTAAAAGTTCCGGTTCTTTTAACTTAAAATCATAATATATTGTGCATAGTCGCCCAGTTGTACCGAAGATGCAAATGTTTTGACATTGCAGGAAAGATGGCCGCAAATTCGTACAATCTTTTGTCCACTCAATCTCTATGGATTCTAGATATATTTACTAAATTTGTTGATGGGTAGTAAAGGTACTCTCTTAGCTTTCACGTTAAGACACGGACGTAGACATATCTCCTTTCAAGTACATTCTGAGAAGAAACAGGTTATGGTCAGATTTTGGTTTACAGCTTCGGTTAAAGTTAAATTTACGGTTGATTTATTTGCTGGAGTTAGGATATTTTACTAGGTGACCTAAATGGAAACTGCATAACAAAAGGGGATCTTATTTGCACGTCTCGCCAGTACAGCTTAACTTCAGAAATCCAGTATATTGATAAAAGTCTGGCTGACGTCAACAGGTTGATATATAGAATTTAAATTCCCATTGGATGTGTTTTCTAAAGAGTTCTTTAATCAATAAAAGGATTTTTGTTTACTCGATATCATTCACTGCCAAGATATTGCAAGTAAAAAAGAAATCTGAGGTAGTTGGGCATTAGAACCTCATTCAGTCCTTCAGTTAACCTCGCAAACGGTCATACCCCTTAATTGTCAATAGAAGTGAAGGGAGAGAAGGGAGATTACTCCGGACGCGAATGGCCGAGCT